CCAAATGCAAACCTTCTTCGGCGGCGCTATATATGGTTCCCTCAAGTTTTGGGTGTTTGTCGACAGTCTTGGCGGCGATCACGACATTAGCGCCGTCTTTGGCCACTTTGAGGGCAATGGCTTTCCCGATACCACGACTTCCGCCCGATATAAACACTGTCTTTCCCGCGAATACGCTATCAATTCATTGAATCAGTTGTCAAATAATGAAACAAAAAGTTTTGCATATATTTGAGGCATTAATTGTCTCATCAAAAATACAAACCCTGTGTTAAGCATTGTATTGACGCCAATAAGTGTTTCACTAAAATGAGTGTCGATTTGATTAATAATTATAATAATAATATAATTTGAATGAATGTGTGATGTGTTGACTACAACTGACACTCAATTCAATGCTAATTCAATGCCAACTGAAGTCCAAAACCAGATTCACTGACAAAACACTCTCTGTTTGATGTAAACGTCAAACGCTATAACGTTATTACTGTTGACGGCTTTCAATGCGATTCTCATACACTTTTGCCACAATTTAAAGTTTAACTAAAGTTTAATTAATGCACACTTAATGTACTCATTATTCAAATGAGAGGTTATTTAAGTACTAATCAACACTTTTTGCACACTTTGTACTTATTATATAATGTACACAACATTATCGGTAATATTATCGCAAAATAGCATCTGATAAGAGGATTTTGTCCCTATATTTGTTTATTACTAACTTATAATTGATTTTAAAATTGCTTTGCGATTCAAAGCAAACAATCCTTCCTTCTTCTCACTAAACTATTTTCGAGTTAAAACTCCTATTATTTAATTTAAACACTTATAAACAGGTTTACAATTCTGACTCCTGTTAACAAATTCCTGGTATTTATTTCAATTATGGTAAATACGGTAATATTTTCGCANTAAAACTCCTATTATTTAATTTAAACACTTATAAACAGGTTTACAATTCTGACTCCTGTTAACAAATTCCTGGTATTTATTTCAATTATGGTAAATACGGTAATATTTTCGCATATAAATAAATGTATACAGTAATAATAATAAGTTATAAAATTTTAAGCATAATTATGTTTATTTATTAAATTAATTAGTTTTATAATGCATTAAATGTAGTTTAAAAATTTTAAAAAATGAATATTAAGTTAAAGTATGTTTTGGTGACGAAAATTACATGAATTACAGAGAGAATTGAGATGTAGAAACATTAGGGGCATTTGCGGTCGACCTGAGCCTTACCGCCCTCTTCATACTCTTGTTTGGAAATCCACATTTGCTGGAAAGTGCCCTAAATATAGACAATAGTTAGTTAATCATTGCAACCAAACATTATGAGTGAGCGCTTACAAGAGATGCTAAAATCGAGCCACCAATCCATGCGCCATAACGTCTCTCCGCCGTCGAGTTAGTACTCAATACCTTAAGTCTCATACTCTGGAGAAGAGTTAAGTAAAAATAGATTCAATTTAGTTTGCAATTGAATTAACAAACGGTTGTATTCGACATACGGGAGGGGTTTTGGTGGTTAAGTCACGACTGAGTCGATCTGTGAAGCCCTGTATGAGAGTATTGCCTCCCGTCGTGATGACGGAGCCATAAAGAGATGG